AATTATTGAGATCAAAATAAAAACTACGAAAGTTATCGTAGTGCAATAAATCAAACATGTGGTTCGGTAGCACGAAATGAAATGTTGGATCTTGTCGAGCTATTTAGAAAAATTTTCTAATCACTGACAAAATGCGGAGAAATTTTCTTTGTATAGATTTATCGATAGATTCGAATATTTCGGTAGTTTTTCTTTTTTTTTAATTCGTACATCCTTACTCTTTCTTTCTTCTTCTCCCATTGTTGTTGTCATGCTTATTGTTACTACTCTAGTTCTCGAACATCGACGTGCATCTTTTGACATTATCTCGCATGTCATATTTGAGCATGTCAACTATTTTTAATAATTTGTTTATAATTGTAAACATATCCATAAAACTCGACTATCGATCTGTCTTGTGATAAAAATAAACAATAAATGAAGGCTAGTATTTATTTGAGCAATAAAAATATTGGAATCAGCAATAATTAAAATACGATTTCGCTATAACTTTTAAGGAATACAAAAAACTTTATCTGAGCAATTTTATATTATTAAACGTACAATAATTAATTCTTTCAATAGCAGTAGTAATTTCATATTTTGGCAATAAAAAAAAGAAAAACTACATTATTTTTAGTCACAATTGAAAATAAAAAAAATGAAAAATGAAAAAATAGTATATTATTGTGTCAATAAAGCTTTATTTGCTTTAAATGGTCTGTCTCTTTTTCTATTTGTATTAATTTTCACATTTTTTTGCCTCTGGTGAAGGTTTGCAATATTTCAACCGAATGGATATACCAATGATGTGCTTGCAAACATAATTTTCAAGAAATGATGGGCAAGTGCAAGTTGCTTTGGGTGTGGGTGTTAGTCTTCTCTTCATTCACATACATATCCCACGTCCACACTCGACACCCACACCCATATATTTTATAATTTAAGTAAATTCTTACACATTTAGTATAATTATTGCTCATTCAGTATAACTATTGCTAAATTGAATTATTGCTCAATTAAATATAAGCCATAAACAAACACATGCAATTCTTGTGGATACCAAGGAGTAGAGCAAATATCTATTCATTCGAACAATGGTTTTTATTTGTTTTCTCTCATGCCAACGCTTTAAACCAAGTTTCTTATTCTAATGTTCAAAATGGATGAAAAGAGAAAAGCATAGAGTTTACTGCGTTGCTCCTCTGTTTATCCTCTTTAGCTGTAGATAGCGATTGCGAACACACTACATGCTTGTGTACTTAATGTGCATGCTTGCAATTTTTTAGATTTCAGTTTGTATACTGATCATTATACAGTATTTGGAAAAAACGTCGCTTTCTTAATGAATCATACAGTGATATAAATTGACAAAGACATCAAGGCTTCAACGAACACGATCTATTTCATTCACGCAGACGACTATTTTGATTATTGCTGAGGAAGTTTCATACTCTCATGCAACAACTGTCCTAACGTCTCTGAAATATCTTTCAAAATAGGCTTTCAGTAAATAAATAATCTGTTTTTGTCCCTTACCTGTTTGATTGTCTGAAAAATCGATGCCACCGGTTTTCTGTTGTATAGCAAAGTAAAACTAGAATATTGATAATGAAAATAAAGGAGCTGTGCCAGATGTTTTGTATTGAATAAGATATTAATTTTTTTAGTTGTAGAACATGAGAACACGAGTTTTAGAGACATAACTGTTTTCTACAAGCAAATGAAGGAATCAGAGCCTGAAATATCCTCTCTTCATTCGCTAAGTATTATTTGTTTAACGTTTTTTTATTAAAGATGATGTGAAGATATATAATCACTGGATCAGAGAGCTTAACCTTTTTCAGTCACAGCAAAAAACATCTCAATATCTTATAGAAGAGTCATTTTCAAGAGATATTGATCCTTCTATTATATTATTATTTATCTCTTCTATATTTGCATAAATAATTACCAAATTGGAGTTAAATACTCAATCAAAGATTCTCTATAACATGAAAGAAGAGTCAATTTAATCAATTGATTTCATCACAAAGTAGTACTTCCTTTTATAAAATTTACTCTGTAGAACACTCATTTTTCATTAGAATTTAGACATGATTCAGCCTATAATTTTTCAATAGCTCTGATTTAAAAGATGAAATTTGTACCACAAATGTATTTTCATATAGTGCTTCAAATAATTTTCACAAAAGTCTAAAATAATGATCATTTATATCATTTTGGTTTAAATTTTCGAGAGAGCGGACCCATAAGGCAATCAAGAATTCTTATGAAACGGTTAAAGGAGTTCGTGCGTACACATATTGAACACTGTTAAAATGGGTGGAATTTGTTGAAAAAAAGGACTCTAAGATGAATTAACTTCATTTAGTTCTACGTGGAATTCAGGCACACTGAATCAGCAGTAGGGTCATAGCGAATCACCTTAGACTACAGTTGCACTCTGATCTCAGATATCCTATTTCATTTGTCACTGTCAATCCAAAAGTACATGAATATCACGAGATAATTAATTTGAAATTCACTTCATGTTCATGGTCTAAGGAATGAGAAATATCCAGATGCCACGAATTTCGAACACTTGAAGATTTCAGTATCCAAGCTTTAATAAAAAATAAGCACTCCTCAACTATAGCTAAATATAACTCACAGAACTCGAGGAATCCATGGGACTAAAGAAACCTAAGGAAACAAAGACGTCCTATGACCTCGAGAGACTTAAGAACTGAAGAACGTCACTGAGCAAACCAAATTCATGGAATACAAAGAACTCGAAGAACCTAAGGAACTACAAGGATCCTCAAAACTCGAAAAGTCCAAAGAATGACGTGAAGGTATGGATGCGTGCTGTGGATATGCCGATCTGAGTCTTCACTTCACCATCAGACACTTCCAGAGCAACGACAATAATTATGCCTACAATTACATACCCACACCCTCACACACATAGCCATCGGCAAATCTCATACCCCACAGTCACACTCTCGTTGACAACTGCACACCGACATTCGCATACACACACACATCTATCGTGATTTTCTTGACTTCGTGTATTCAATCAATTCCTTGGATTCCTTTGGATTTGGGGTTCCGTTTATACGGTGAGGAACTTGAATTTCTTTGATTCTGAAAATGTCGTAACATGATTCAGTTCTCGTTAGTTCTAGTAGATAAGTTCTTGTTTTTGATTGATGTACGAGTTCCAAAATCGTCAAGAAATCGCAAGATCCGAAAATATCTTGCTGAAAACTAATAGAATGTGCATAAAATGAATAAAATATGATATATATATATATATATCACTACAAAAATGTCAGTAATATTGTTCTCCAGAGAAAAACATGGAAGTAAAGCAGGCGTGTTGGTTTCGAAGCATTTCACTTGAATGAGAAAGTATTGGGCGATGGTGTTTATTAATCATTTTCTTAATTAAGAAACGATATTTTGAGTTGTATTTATTAAAACTTAGTTGGAAAATTCATGCAAATGATGTTGTAACGATGTTTATAGAAGACATAGACATAGTTATTTCATTTTTTGATACTTACCTTTTTGCAACCATATGATAGGCAACCGAATACTTCCTAATATGCATGCACCCTACGGCAGGTCATCAAAGAAGTCGCGAACATCAGATCATTTCTTTCGATCATATCCACGACAGAGAATCGATCGACAATCGCTTTACATAAACCCATCCCCTGCCGAGAGCAAGAAACCTAAAAAGACACCATGTATGAAAGTTTTGTGGAGTCTCATCCAATGCATAATATCCTGCTGTGCGCAAGGCGGTAGTGCTTATAGAACACCAATGACTTTTATTTGCATAGTGGCTATCCCTTTTGTTGTTTTTACAGACTCTGTTGGACTTAAAGATGGCTAGAGACGTCTAGATACAAACGCTGTCTTACTAACCACTCTAATGGTAAAACATGCAACAACCATCACTATCAGATCGGACAACATCATGGACTTGCCATTGTGCATGTTAGGACAACGACTAGTTTGCTCTTTGTTTCAGCTAGGCTGATTTGCTGACGTCTTCATTCCTGGTTTCTTTCAACATTACATGCTATATACACATGCTAGATGTAGTGTAATGGAGTAATCATGATTAACAGGGTGGTATATTATAGCGAGTTTTTAACGATCCATTTCCAAGTTTTTTGTTTAATTACACTGTAAAATATAGATATTTTTAAATGAAAGTAAAATTTGTTTGTTGAAACACAACATGAATAAACTTCGAATATTTGATTGATATGAAATTTCGCATCGAAGAAAAATAATTTTTAAGTGTAAATGCAGAAGTCCAAATCATTTCTCAAGAATGATGAATAGATCTCGACAAGTAAATCAAAAGTCATACGAAATTCCGACTTTCGAAATTCTTTTAAGTCAGAAAAATGAAAATGATTTGTAGTATTTCATCTCCTGAAAACTCTCTATTAAACTGTTTTTCAATAATAAATAAAATCATATTGGAATCACAGGCTTTTACTCTGACAAAAAAATCGTTTCTGATTACTATCCAAAGTAGAAATACTAAGGTTATTGAAAAAAATATAGCTTTTTTACCAACGAAAAGTATTCATACCTGACAAAATGGTATCTTTTTTTCACTGAACTAAAGATACATTTTTGTGAAACACTCAAAAAATTCTAAAATTTTATCTAATTTTATTTTTACATACATAATAATTACTACGCTGATGAATGAGTATGCGTAAGAAAAATCAATCGAAGTTCAATAATAATCTGTGGTCAATCAAAACTCTTGAAATCTTTTCATGCATATATAGGACATTGTCTTGAGGAATCTGAAAAAAAATCAGTGAAATTCTATATATCCATTTTATCAATGCACAAAACAACTTAAAAATATTCATTGATTTTCTTTTACTAGAAGAGAAAGAAAGCATAAAAAGTACTACAGGACAAAATTATTCTTCAAATTTTATTGAAAGAGAGCCTTGTTTAATTGAAGATAGTATAATCATTGTGTTATTGAATGTTTATTACACCGTTGTTACTGGATTTAATATATCTCTTCTAATGTAAAATAGAAGATAAGCATCTCGCGATACAATTTCATCTTTCAAATCATCAAGTCTTACACGTGTTACACTCGAATCATCGAATCTATACCAATCATTTCTATTCAATATAAGATGCTTAGCATACGCTGTATAATGACCTCCAGAAATCGATCCCATATGATTACAAGTTGCGATTAAATCATAAATAGCTTCTTTCTCGGAAGATGGTAAGAACTCACTTAAATTTAGTTTTTCTATGGGATAATCAACAAATGTTTCGATTTTTTGATGTAAACCGTTTTCATGCGAAAATCTTTTGAATTGAATAACTAATACAGGTGGAAGCGTGCAAAGTTTAAGTTGTTTAGTAGCTGCCGTCTTCTTTTTACATTTTTCTTGTTGGCAAGTCCATTCATCTTCGAGTGTTTCTGACGAAAAAAATTGCTCAAGACAATCGTCAAGTGTCAATGTTTTCGTAGATATTTCCAAGCGTTCAGGTAGAGCATTATCTAAATGTTCGTCTCGTTCCATTAATATAATTTCGTCATGAAGTATCTCACTAACTGGTGTTTTAAAGTTCAGTTCACCATCGGGTAACATAGCGAGTATATAGTGAAAGAGTTCAGGTCGTTTACAAGATTTAACGAATTGTTCTACAATATGCCCAACTTGACCACTGATAGGCACGTACACCATAGATATTTCATCCTTTCCTGTTTTTGCAATATAATTAATCCAAAAAACTCGTTCTTGTCGATTGAGTGGTATTGACAAAAAACTGATAGGATTTTTGGTTGATTCTTCTTTATTACATGTAGTACATGTTATAGTCGATTTTATTTCTCCAAAAAAGAGTTGTTTTATTATAGTATTTTTCCCATGTTTATTTTTTTCTTTTAATTCTCTGTGTATAGCATCGAGAACGAAAGTCATAAATTCTTGAGCATCTTGCTGATCAGTTGTAGAAAAACGTGGTTCCTTCTTACCAATTATGTCTTTAATACGAGTAGGTTTAAATGAATCGTAACTACAATCGTTATCATCAAATTTCCGTAAATTCCAAAGTAAATCAACATATGCTCCCGTTACATCGCCTACTTCATCGTATGGATTCCAATCATTATCTGTATGTTCACCATCGTCCATATAAGTATGACGAATACCCTCCAAAAAGAAATTAGTTAATGGTGGTATATGAGCGAGACATTGAATTGCACTGTTCATATAGCATGAATTGCCAAGATTATCCAAACCAATAGGTTTTTTGCTGATGCGATTAGTTTTCGGTCGTTTATCTTTCTTGAGTAATGGAGAGGATTCTGTGCTTACAATCGATGAATGAGTAGGAGGTTTATCTATTATGATGGCATCGATAATGTCGCCCGGTTTGAATCCTATATCGGCTAAACATCGGGATGTTTCGTTACCTTTTTGGACCTTGAAAACAGTTTTTCCTGAAGATATTTCAGATAATACTAATCGTTTATGTTTTTTTAAACTGTATATTTCTTTAATCAGTTGATCAACAGTATCTCTCACTGATGCTTCTATTTTTTCAGGATTGTCCGACGGAAATCTACAAATGACAGTGACCTTATCATAATTATTTTTCGTAGTCGATGATGAAAATGATTGTTTAGATGTTTTGCTTTCATTATTTACAATAGCTGACTGAGTGTTTCTGGTAGCCAGATGAAAATTAGCAAAAATGGTTTGATCAGGTTTAATGCCGAACGATTTTAAAATTCGATCAGAATCATTCGAGTGAATCTCTTCTTTTGCTTCATTTAACAATTGGAACTTAGTAATATGTTCATCGCCATATCGTTTCTGAATTTTATTTTTTAATTCACCAATTGTTTCTGTATTCGGTACGTGTATAACAAAGTTATTATTACCATTAGTGCATTGAACATGAACATCTTTTTTGTGATTTTCAATGGTCAATGGAAGTGGTGGAATGATCTGAACATAAATCGCCATTCGATCACTAACACCTAATTCACTTAATCGTTTATAAGAATCAGAGAGCAAGTTGAGTTCATTGCAAATCGTTAACAGATGAATTCGTTGGCGTTCCACCAAATGTAATGAAAATTTTTCGATAACATATTTAAGAAGCATAGCCAGTGTTGTTTTTGCTCTGTACCACTGAAATATAACAGTTTCCTTGTCATCTGGTCCAATAATTGACGATTGACATTTCTTCGGTGGAGCTGCATTAAGTGTTGGTTCAAAATAAAGTATACAATCGTTGGTCACGTTTAACTCTCGTAGTGTCTTCGATGTGTTGATTACATCCAATGGATAACAGTCCTTCTTACACCTAAATCCAACAAGACGAACCTCTTCTAGAGGAATATCATCGAGGTAAAGGATTTTTAATAGATCTTGTGTAATATCACGAATGGTAATTGCCAGTAGACTATTAACATTTACTTTTAATTCTATATCATGTTTTTTGTCTGTGTATTGAAGTTCCAATTCAATTCCTTGATTTAACCGAGAGTGTGACGGACAGTCAGGGTTGCTACAACCTCTCACATGCGATATAGTCCCATGAATCATGATGTTATTTTTCAAACGTAAAGTGTTGCGACTATATTTATGGCCCAATATTTTATTCGAACAAATTAAATAAAATTCTTCATCTATAATGAAAAATAATATCTGATAACAAAAGAAAATGTATGTCACGCTTTTTCTTAAATAACATGAATAATAATTCATCAGATACTCAATTGTTGTGAAGGAAGCATAATGATTGCGTTGTGAGTCATTATATTTTATATATTATTAATTTTCCATATACCATATAAATATTTATCATGTGTTTTTATTAACTATTGTTACAACGAACAGTAAAAATGCAAAAGATGTATAAACATCGAAATTACTTTAAACATTTTCTTCCGATACTCACACATCCGAATTTTTAAACGAAGTAAACGTGCAAACCATGTTTTTTTTATATGACTCGTCGTCTGATTTTTACCTTTTTTTTTTGTTCTTCCTTCTATATGCAACTTGAAACAAATAAACTTCGATCGTCAACAACAATGAAGAAACATGTAATATAGAGACACTGACACATATAGTGGAGAAAAGACAATTTTTGTTTTTTTTCTGTTCTGTTTTCCTTGGAAAAAATAAAGAGCACCTTTTGTTTATTTTGCATTCGTATATTTACTTGTTTTTTTTTTAAATAAAACGAAATGATAGTAAAAACCTGAAAAAATATTTCATTTTAACGAATGCTAAATCGTTTTTTCATCAAGATTCTCACAAAGATACTTTGAACTCTTTCGTCATAGAAATTAAATCACAATTAAAATCATTTAGTCTATGATCTTCTCTTTCAAAATTACTAAGAGTTTCATCTTCTATAATTTTGAACTAACAATTTATATAAAAATTTTTCTTTGTTATTGCATCAAATTTTTCAAAAATATATTATCTTCCATCGAATAAATGGAAGAAATTCGTCATGTGAAGCTATCAGATATCAACAACAATTTTCTCTTTTTGACTTGGCTATGAATAATTGATATCATCTAATGTCAATTATTCTTTGTTTCGTTGAATTATTCATTTAACACTTCCCTTTCTATGAAATCATTTCTGTCAAACTGTTTGATGACCATCGATCATTCTTTTCATATACGAATTAATATGTTTAAGGTAGTCATTATATTGATAGTAAGTTATATAATTATGATTACCTATAGATTATTATCGAAGAAAACTTTGTTTTGATCATTAAATACATTGGTACAAAATGGATGATAGAGAATTAGTGTTTATGCATATTAGACGCCGCATTAGCGGTAGATAATGCACTTATCTCATACACAACTTGGTTGACAATAAGTGAAGTTAAATACTAATAATAATTTCATTTAATAAAAATGATTCCATGAATTTCGAAAAGCTAAGAGAAGAGTATGAAAGTGGATGCAAGTGCAAATGTTCTCTTCCTTTATTCACATTCACATCCTCTCTATTTCTACTATTTATGCTAGTTTGTGTACCGATTTTTGTTTCATGTATTTTTCTGAAGTATGATTATTATTCCTTATAATATATGCTATTACATTAATAATAAATTTGGTGATCAAAAATATTTATACACTTTTTATTGTGTTGATCTTAATTGTGAATATATGAATACAATAAATTAGAATTTTTAGTGACTGTAAACTTTGGAAACCGTTATTACACTTACTTTTTTGCTTCAAATAAAGTCGATTTAAACTTTCGGATGGACACACCTAGATACTTGAAACTTCCATGGGCTTCTAGTAGTTCTCTATGAATTACATCTATACCTATGTTTTGTCAATCTAAGAGTATTTGAAACATATCGAGCTACGTATACAGACATCATTGAAATATATGTTTTATTATAGTGCAAGCATGCATAAGTATCAGAGCTTTAGGGCTTAGATAAGCTAGTCTCTTATACATAGATTTCGTCGACTAGGATAAACTCAAATATTCGTTTCAAGTTCCACCAAACTAATAGATTTGTCTAGTGCATTGAAATTCTCGTTTAAATATCGAAATTCTTATTATTTACGGAGGTTCATAGTATGAGTGATCCATTGGAACAAACATAGAAAACGTTTTTGAAGAGCTAACGAGTTTTTTATGACTAAATATTAAATTGTACATTGACAACAAATTTAAGTAACGCTTCATCTTTGCAACTGAATAAAAATTGTACAAAAAATCAGAGATTGATGAGCAAGAAGCTACTATCAAATTTTTTTCCGCATACAGCAACTAAATGCACGTTCTCGTTAAATATTCCCAGTATAATGTACAAATCTACAATTTAATCTCTTTTTAGTGAATGAGTACAAGCATTTTAACATAAACTACTAATTGCTTCCGTTTTCTGGTCTACGCTCTTAAAAAAAAACCGTTTGACACCGAACTCTTCTTCAGTGCGGTAGGGAGCTTCGAAACTTAAAAACATTCTTCACTGGGATACACTCTCGAAACTTTTACTACGAAACCTTTTTGAGATCTGTAGAACAAAAAGAGTTCTGCATCAAAAATACAAAACCTTTTGAGGGTGATACAAATTCTTGAGAATATAATACGAAACCTACAAGATTTTGTTTTAAACTGGAATGGTTTCGTAGTAAATACTTTAAACATGTATCCTAATGAAGAACTATTTTATGTTTCGTAGCCCCTGACGAACTCAGAGATGTTCACTATAAAACCTTTTCTTTTTAGAATGTATACTAGTGTTAGACACAGCCAAATATAATTTTTAAACCAGAAGCAATATGTTTTATGTAAACGGCATTAAAACACTCGTTCTTGCTGCTCTATTTTTAATTTCTCTAGTGTCGACCTTACAAGAAATGTTAATCCTATTCTCAATTCAAAAAATTTCGTCGTCTATGCAAACATGATGTTACTATATTATAGTTTTCATTTTCTTCCGTTTCTTTATATACAGATAAAAATGAATTTTTACTTTCGTAGATAGCATCTATAAAAACATCATTGCAAAAGTGAGACATGATGATGGAATGAATGATGGATACTTTTTTTCGAAATGTCTTACTAAATCTGAATTAAGAATAGATGAAAGTACGTACAATTATAAGTTTTGAACTATATATCAGTAAATCAAAGAAATGAAAATCTGAATTACGATTGCGACTAAAACATGATTTATTCATGTCAACATAATTCATCAAATAAAAAAACATTTTTCAGTTGTTAGGTATTATCATCTTGAATTTTTTATTAAATTCAACAGTGACAAAATTACAGATGTATCTTTTGCATGAGAAAAGCAACATACTTCGAAATCCATAGAATTTACTTCTATTGTGCTCTATTGTTGATTGAATATAAACTAGAAGGAACGTTAAAGCGAAATATCTGAGGAATACTTGCCTCTCTAACAAATGTCATATACTCACTTACGCATTTAGAAGTCTTGCACACGATTTCAAAAGAAAATGTTGGAGTCATTTCAAACCTAATTTTGTTAATTATTTTTAGTTGAAAAATTTTGAAAACTAGGTATAATTCTAATGAAATCTGATCAGTTTAGATTATCCTTTAGGTGTGTGTCTTGCATCATTTTTTCCTGAAACCAAAATTAAATAAATCTTAATACCTTCCTCTCTTGAAATTTAGCATCATGTGTTCAGATATTTCAATAAGATATCTCTTATAGTGACATCTATACTTCTTATTTTATGTTGCATTCTAATATTTGTAAATTAATAGAAACAATTCAATATGAAGAATCTACGAATAGAATAAAATAGGTCATTAATTGTTTGTATTGATAAAAATGAAATATTATTGGTACTCATGATTTTTCAATACATGTGCGTTTGAAAGAAAGAATGATATGTTCATGCTTTGTTTGTGATATTGTGCATAAGTCGCTTATGTGTCAATTTTATACAATGTATCGAATAAATGATTCATTAATTTCGAAGCAAAAAAAACCAAACACCCATAATTTATCGTAATTATCAACAATCAAAATGATAAGAAAAATTAATAAATCTATAATATTCTCTAACTAATTTGGGATTCTATAGACAGAAAAAATGCTATGGTCATCAACACTATGGTACAATGTTTTTATAGTTTAGTATTTGATTTAAAGTGAAGGTCAAAAGAGAAGGATGTGTGTAGTACTTTCAAAAATTCAACTCCTCTGTACGGAACATAAAACTTGAGTAAAATTCAGGTATGTTTAGACAGAAAAATATATTCAACTAACACTACTATTAATATGGCATGAAAGAATTTCTTACTTTTTTTTTAAACTTATGTTCAAAAAAAATAAAAATTACTTTATTTTTGAAATGTATACGTAATACGATTGTAATTAAAAACTAGCAACCAGTTACTGTCTTGTATCAAACAAATTCGATAATAACTATGCCAATAGATTTAGTTCACAATCTTTTCAATAACAGTGGCTCATTCTAAGCTGCACTGGACTATTTGTGTCAATATATCACTTCTTGTAATGTATATCGAATCATACATATTCAACGATTGTATGTATTTCATAAGATGAAACATGAAATGATTGTTTTAGGTTTTTTCTTTGAAATATACATGAAAAAACAACTGATTTTGTCTATCATTATTTCAAGCAATTTTATTCATATATCAAAATAAGTAGAAATTTTCTCCAGTCTTAATATATATATATATAAATATCTATTGATTTCGATATGAAACAATAGGCATCAGAGATAGGATCAGTTCGGTTCAAACTTTAAAAAAAAAACTAGGTCGACTCGATTTGAGAAAAAAAATACGAACCAATCCAATAACGAATATGTATTTGATCTAGTTCAATTATATTATTTTTATTTTATTTTAGATTTTATATAAAAAAAACAAAAAATAAGCGTGTTCTTCTAATGAAATTATTAGTAATTATTTTGAGCTTTATTTTACTTTCTCATATATATGGATTGAATACAGATGAATCAACTGGTATTAATGTATTAGAAACATTAAAAGCAAAAAATTTATCTTGTGATCTTCATGTTTTTGTAAATTCAACTGGCAATTCTCAAGATGAATATGAAGTTTTTATAAATGATCTAACACAATACTGTTCGAATTCTGAATCAACAAAATCATATAGAGTTTTATGTCATATGATATTAATAGAACTTGAAATTGGTTGTTTATCTCTAAATAAAACACAACCATTACCAATAAAATATATAACTTCGTATACACCAGATAAAATATGTTCAATCAATAAAATACTATATATAAATCGTTGGATATGGGACAAATTAAAAACAAATGAAAAAAATCAAATTGGTACAACATCGATTAAATTATGTTCTACAATAACTTCATTTAATGAGACACTTCGATTGGCAAATTTTTTTTATAAAACTGCATCACGTATTAGAGAAATTGATACATATAATATACAGTCTTTATCACATCAAACACTTACTAATTCATCTGCTAATAAAGTCCGACTAGTTAAAAAAAAATCGTTCAAAAAAACAAATAATACAAGTAATTAAGCTCTTGTTTTTTTCAAACTTTTTTTTATTATATAAAAATAGGTGGGAAGAAAGTCGAACTAGAAAATCAATTATTAGTTAAAAATATAAATGAAGATTCTTTATTACAGAAACATAATTTTGAAGACAAAATAACAAGTAAAAAAAAATATTTTATTGTTTCTTTTCATATAAAATAAAACATTTTTTTTTTTTTGTTTTATTATAGAAAATAAAACACAATTAGTGTTAGACTTAAAACACGAACAATTCCAATTTGGTAAATTATTTCTATTTATGTTTTTTTTAAAATAACCATTTAATGTTTTGTTTTAAAGATATTAATGAAACTCAGAATATAGAAAGTAAGTTTTAAAAAAGTTTTTTTTTTCGATAATAGTGGAAAAAAAAACCAATGTACTGTTGAGATTAGATCAAACATAAATACTTTAGTGAATTTTCTTTTGCAGAGAGAATTATTTGAATAATAATGAGAGTCATGAAAAATAATATTGATTATTTTGGTGCTAAAGACAAATTAAATGTTGAACAAAACAAAATCGATTGAGAAAATCTTAAACAACTATTTCAGGTTCAATGATAAGGCTTGTTTTGATAGAAATTCGAGATGTGCAGCGTCAGCTTTTGTCATACACTATATGTTGAGTAAGAACAATTTTCTTACTCTGTTCTGTACTGAATCTGTTCTTACCTTATCCTACGAAATGTTTATCTCACTCCCTCTTAATCCTATTCTATGTAGTTAGAAGCCTCTAAAAGTGACAAATAGCGAAATAATATCGCAATATAGATGTGCTGGGTAAACATTTTCCGTATCCTATAGTTTAACTAATGAAGGAACCTCATTAAATGATACATTATGTTTGAAGTCATACGTAACGCTTATAGTGTAGATAAAAAGTCTAACAGGTTTTTCTTCATCAGTTCTCTGTTCTTGGCTTATGACCAACTTACTGAATTTCCAGTCTATGGCAACGGACAAAGAGAAAAACCAAATCGAGGAATTTCAATCTGAAAATATGTCATGAAAGCAGATCTCATGATCCTTAGAATTCTCAGAAAGTTTAGTCTACAATGGATAATATATCACTAAAAGAACAAATAGGCAAAAAAGGTCGTTTCTCATAAAACATTCGAGAAAATCCGATCTGTTTGATATTCAATATTTTGAGAAGAAAGCATTCATGTTGGCTGAAATTTTCGTGATATTATAAGAGCTATGAAGTCTCTTTTTAGACAAAATTTCAAATGAAAATTCAGTAAAAATGATCATAACATGAGAACAAGGACCTAATGTGAAGCATCCTTTTAGGGTTTTTATCTACATTACGAGTCGTATCTATGAGCAAAATATGAGTTCAAATAGAGTGTATCAATGGATGAGATTCACTCGAGAGAAAAATTTTGACATGTTTACCCTGCTCTGCAGGATAGGGTGGGATAATTCTGCACATCTCTAATCAAAATACAGGAAGAACAATTAATATTACTGCGACAAACAGTTGAAATATCTCCACTTCGGTTCGTTCGAACGGACTGATATTTTGGTTAGTGGTACTAACTTATTTAAAGTTCTATTTTTTTTTTATACGGATAACGTAAACAAATACTACTGTCTAGTTAGATCGTTGATCTCGCTAAAGATGTTTTGAACATTGTTAAGTAAGAAAAGACAACTGTGAAGCGTTTCGTGGAAAATTTTCAATTATGCTGTAAGCAAATAATGAAAAGTCAAAATGAACTATATTTCTGTACAGAGAGCAAGTTTTTGAAACTAGTCTATGTTAATGCGAAAATCTATGCCGCATAAGTAAAACATATAATGGCAGCTCCGTGGGCACCAACTTTCTTGCAAAAAACTATTGTTCCATACTTACAAAGTCGAAACTTTGTAATCCTTGACTTTTAGACTAACTAGTTCTGAAAATTTACTCTATATACCATCAGTATAATATCATTTATAAAGTTAGTTTTGATTTCTTCTTCTTCTTATTCTCTTCGATAAAAATTAAAAACTATCCATGAAATGCTACCGTTCTATTTTTCTTATTTGATAACAAATAAAATTGCTTTCATGACATCAACAATAACACTTAACCGTAATATTTCTTTACCTTACCCATATAAAAAAAAAGCTTTGAATAAACTACTGCTACTAATCAATAAATCAGCTCATTTGATTCAACCAAAGTGAAGATATTTCATTCTTGTTTAAATCATAATCCTATTTGAGATCCATCCCTGTCCTTCAGATGATTAATGCAAGTTTAAAATATGATTGATAATCATAATTGAGCTAATTAATAAACTAAAATTAGAAAAATCTTAGTTCTTTTAAGCAAATAAACAAACAAAGTGGAATCAATTCGATGTTCATTATATTAGAAACATTTTGAATCATCTCATATTTTTAACGAGTCGTAGATATAGTTAAAATTTATCACTTCATGTTTTTCCGAAACCTAATCATCATCATTTATTGATGCAATTTTCTGTAAAATTGATAACAAAAATTTGATTGATTTTTCAACATATTTTCATTATAGATGATGTAGAACAAGTGGATGAAACGGAAGTACAACTAGTGCATGAAAGAAAAAGGAATGAAGGTAATTAATTGTTTATCATTCATTAAAATTAATCATAGATAAATATATCTAGTGGGAATTCCATTAGGACGAAATGAAGAACTACCAGGTATATAGTTTTGTATTATTTGTATTTTTTTTTATTATTCTTTTTTCTATAGCACGGGTACAAGTTAATGAACGACCGAGTACGTCATATTTTTAGAATGAATGAAACGACAAAAAAAAATATATAATTTTATTTAAATAGAACCAAAAGCTCTGGATATTGAAGTTGTCTTTCAATCAAATGATGGTGAAAAACGAAATTGGATTGAAGGTATCACTTTAATTTAACACGAATTGGGATACGGGTACTAAAACAAAATTTTGAAAATTTAATTTTGTCTAACACTGACAAACACTTATAGGACGAGATGGCAAACATAAAGAAGAAAATGAACCACATTTTCACTCACTTCAGTATAATCGAACAAAATCTCAAGAAAATCGATTTGTCGTTCCTTCAGCAGCAAAGAGAAAACCTAAACTTAGTAAGATATTTTATTTTATTTTATTTCTTTTAATTCAATAGAAAAATAGATATAATTGTATCAAGAATTGTTCACTGAAAAATAAATTGAAAACGTGTTACTAGAGTTCATCGGATAGATCTCAGATCTAACGGACGCTACTCTGAAAGTTAGAATCAATTATAAATTAATTTCTATAAGATCACCTTGAATATTCCTGAAGAGATGTGTAGGATGTGTTCATCGTCGAACATAAATAATTAGACAGTGTTTCAAAAGCTCGAACAAAAAACCGTGAATACCTCTTCAGCAATTTAAGGAACTTAAATATCGTTTTTTTACAGTTTGATGACATATTCATTGAAGTTTTCAGATAAAATGTCTGTGTTTGCAGACGTCAGAATTAAAATAGTTTTACTGATGATCAAATTTGATTTAGGTATCATTGTAAAACGAAAGCTGCAAATTAAATGCGGCAAAAATGCATCAACAGAACCACCTTTCAGCGATTTTGTCAAACTAGTACTATCGAAAACCGATCGCATTCTGAAAGATCTATGGCAATTACTGAATAAAAAGTCAATGAAGTTAAGGATACTTATGAAAATAAGCCAGAATGATGCATTCAGTCTATTACTCAAACTTGCTCATTAACCACAAACAATAACATACCGGTTTATGGTAAAACATCTGTTACTAAAGCCATACGAGATAGAATTTGTTCAATAGTTCTACGAACAAGAGTTACATAAACCGAACACTTGATTCTAGATCATTTTCACAAACGTCATGAACTTCATCGATTTTCGATAGTACTATTTTTATAAAATCACTTGAATGTGTTGCTAATTGAACATTTAGTATGGGTACTTTTTTTTCTAAATGTAATTTGCAGCTATCATTTTACAATGCTGATTTATTTGAATTGGCCTATGAATAAAACTATTTTAATCGGACTTCTCTAGATGTCTAGAGATTTTAATTGAAATATATTGAATAAAACTTTAATGAATATGTGATTAAACTTTAGAAAAAATATTTAAATCTTTTGAATTACTGAGAAGCTATTAATAGTTTGTTTTTCGTTCGGAGTTTCTTGGAATAACCTATGATCGAAAAAGTATCTCATACCTTCGAAGCAATTACTGGACTCAAATTAAAAACTCTATTAGGAATATGAAGAATACGGTTTGGCATTGGTTCCCGAAAATTTTGAAATAGACAGCCTCTATTCGTCACCAAAGCCAATTTTATTCGAATGAACAGTTTCATTGAATGTCATTGTTTCGAAATTTTTTCAATCAGCATTATAATGTCGATGTTCTCATGGGTCGTTTATTCTCATATCTTCATTCGAATAGCAATTATTTCCTCATTACTTAATATTCAGTTATATTATTTTGTTGAATCATACCTTTCGCCTTTATTTTCTGATAAAATACCTGAAAAACTATTTTAAGAGCTGAAAATTTATAACACAATAGCTTTAAGCAAAATAAATCTTCATCCGAGTAACATACTAAATCAAAAATATTTTATTTAGAAGAGTGCGTTATTCAAATATTCGGTTATAAAAGGACAATTTTGAATATTAAATGAGCATCAGTCTATTGAGTCCAATCCTGAAGAAAATACTAGTTCGATAAATCGTTGATAATCTATCAAATTTTTCTTTTTACTTATTAAATTATTTACTCTAATATTTCTCTTTTAAGAACCAAGATTAAGTTTATATCGTGATGATGACGATGATTGGTTAGACAAGGTTATCACTGGTTTTCTTGTTTTTATCTTATTTATGATTATCATTTATTTGATACTAAACCATAAGAATAAAGTAAATAAATTATTTTTCAAAAAAAACTAAAAGAAAAAGGAAAACTCCCATTTTCTTCGTTAATATAGATATTAGGTTTGATAATTGAAGGATGCAGACGACAACGTGTAATACATGGACGTCGTTTTGGTGTAAGTTCTAGTACAACACGTCTTACTCGTTCAACGCATTCGATTTAAAAAACGCTATTAAATAAAAACAAACATTTATAATCTTTTCTTTTTTTTTCGAGAAATTCTTATTTGAATTTTCTTAACTTTTTTTTTGTGTAAAGTTAATCTTTATTTATATTGAAATATTCCATCGTGACAATTAGAGAACAATATAATGCAAGTCTTATTCTCAATAAATTTATATCAGTTTGATGAATCATTCTGTATTGTTTTCTTTTAAATGTTGAGCTTTTGCAAACAATCTGTATCATTATAGTATATTTTTTCTTTTCTTAGTAATTCGTACTAATCATATATCATTAAAAAACATTATCTTTTTTGTCATTAGTGAAAATTAATAAAGAAAGGATGAAAAAGAAGATTTAATAGATGCTACATAATTTAATTAATTATTATTTTGATGTATAAGAATAATTTTTTGATGTATTTTTGAATCTTACTTCAATATCCGAACTTAGCTCAGCTGGCAGAGCGGTAGGCTGTAATGGTGTAATCATAGTAACCTATAGGTCCCCAGTTCAAATCTGGGAGTTCGGATTCGATATTTTTTTCTTTCTTTTTTTTCTTTCCTGTGTGTTTATATGGTAATAGGGTTACAATGATGAAAATATTTATTTTTGAAATAACTGAGCAATGAAAAGAAGTAGGAATTTGAGATTTTTTTTTCATCATAGATTTTTAAAAAATTCACAAAATTTCAAGATTTTCTTTTTATGTAAAATTTTACCTTAATTGAAAAATAAAATATCCAAATTATGTTCGAGATTTAGCTAATAGACAAACATTATTTAGTGTATATTTGATTAATTGAACCAGCTGTAATTATTGAGTCAATGTGAAAAATATGTCATAGAGGAAAAACCATTTTTTTCTAATTTAGTCTTATGTTTATGTAAACAGTTTAACGCATCTGATTTAATCCACTTTAGGAATAAAATTTTAGATTGATAATTTTGCACTGTGAGTATCTTACAAATTTATTCATCTTATAATTCTTTGATTAAATCTATTTGAATGTGTCTATTCATTCATTGTTTTCAGAAATACCAGCTGTATGAGTATAATACGTTGAAAGTGGCGCCAAAAATAGCGTTATCTTGGATGAATTATACCTCAGAGCTGGCAGGCTTGACTCTATGTATGTTATTTCTATATTTGCTAGTCAAAATGAATAGTTGATTGCTGTATTAAGCGTATTAATCTTATGTGAGGGTGTCATTAAGCTGCAAATGAAACGTCAGTCCTCTTAAAAATAGTAAAGCAGTAATTATATACACATGTATAATGCACTACCGGAAATGAACATTATGTTTTTGTTACCCACGTGTATGAAAGCTTTCATCAATGATGTAATTATTACGAGATACATGGACCATCAAGACTAAATTATGGTTCATGGACTAATGAATTTTATTATCATAATTGAGCTGTTATACTTTACAAATGTATAGAAAAAAAAGGATTCTATATAAATGCAAAAAAAGGAAAGTAAGAGCTGTATTTTGTATAGCAACAGTGTTAAAAACCAAATGATTTATGAAAAACCACACCATATTTATGATTTTTATTATAGACCCAAAATGTAATATTTAATTTCTAAATTAAAAACAAAAATCTTGTGACGGGCATCTGAAACATATCGAAATGAGAATTCTCAAAAGAATCTCTGTTTATTCGCTATAGTAGAACAATTCAACGATAAAGTGATTATTCTTCTAAACTTATCATAAAACCCTTACTGACATAGCTTGATAATCATGTTCTTCAGTGTATAGCTACCACATAATTATTGTATTCACGCATTGGACAGCTTATTTTATGGCTAGTCACTTCAGATTATTCATCAGATAGCCTCATGGAAGATCATTACAAATTCTTTTGTTGTCTTTGTTCATACTCATTCGATTGATTTTTTTGGTAGTGTGCAATGTACTCGAATAGCATCGAAAGATAGTTATCATCTTACAGATCCAATTCTTATCCTAATTTTTGTAATTCACCGTTAAAATAAATGCCAAGATTTGTAGTAAAATTGTCAATAAAAATCGACCTATGAAGTTGCTGTGCTACTAATAACAAATCAACCTATTCAAAACTTGTCTACTATAGAGTTAATATCAGACTCTCGGAAATAGTTTGGTAACGTTATCAATTCTACGTAGTATTGATCATCACAAAATAGAGCTTTCTGAAAAGCATTCTATTGCTTGGAAATATTTTACTTTTAGAAACTTTTCATCACTAAAATTTGCCTAATGGTGTTTTTATTTCTTTTTTTATTCGAATATGAATTTAATTTAACTTTTGCAGCTGAATAAAATACACAAAAATTCAATTCGAACGAACATTGAAAACATTTCATCATTCACTGTACATATCAAAACTTAGTATACTTAATAGTAGATGTTTTTCATTATAGTTATTTCGTATCAAATGAAGATTAAGTATTATGTGAGACCAATAAGTGATTTCATCAATGGATACAATTCCATTATTTTGCCTTGTTTTTTCAGGTTTTCTCGATAATCTTCCGCATTTCTTTGAACTTTAAATAAATCATTAATGAGACGTATCATTTTAAACACTGCTGTATTAAATGAAAAACAATCAATTAAATAACGGGAAAGTAAATCAACATATTTAAAATGTGCATTTAACACACGTTGAGGATCGGACAAATTCCAAATTTATTCATTGTTTATTGAGACACCTTTTAGAAATATTAAAACAAGTATAAGTATTTGAATAATCAATCTATCATTATCAATAGTATTAACAATTGAACGAAGAATAGATAGATAGTCTTGTGTTGCTTTATAACCATAAAATAGAATATTTAAACTTTTATGATATTGAGCAAAGATTTCATCCTTTGATGATATTGATGTTGATCCAGTATCATCATACAATCAATCACTTTTTAGATCGAATACTAAAGCATCTCGTAATATAAGTAATGGAAGAAAATTATATTTAATAAGTGTTAAACGATCTTGATCATATAATGATTCAAATTCAGGAATTAATCAAAGAAAATTAATAAGTTTTATTCGAAGAAATTTTTCTATTTCAATTAAATCAATATATGAGAATGGTTTATTTAATGATTCAGCAAATGATATAACAGATGAAGCTGATGAATTTAATTGCAATGCATAAAGATAAGCATTTCGAATATATGATAAAGAAGAATGATTGATATTATTTAAAAGAAATGATGAATTTAATGAAATATTATTAGTCTAGAAAAAATAAGATGTCATGTTAGCTATTATTTTTTTTACTTCTTACCGGTCCACATTTTTTCGCATGTTTTGTGATTTCCGTTGAATGAAGTTGACGATTTCGTTGATTATGCCATTTTTTTGGATAATTCTCTTTTTTGTTTTATCAAATGATCTTTACACATGCCTAAATTTTAATTAGTATTATTAAATATAGCAAAAAAAAAACGCTAATACTTGAAGAAAAATAGTTTTTCCTGAAATGATTCAATTTTATTGGTTAAATAAAAAAAGATGAATGCATACTATCGACGAAAGAATTCTATATAATAAGTTATACAAGTAATGACTTAATTGGAAACTTATTTATGTTTGGATTTTCCTTTACATGAACGACATGAAACCTGCATAAAATTATAACTTGATATAGGAGCTTCACAAATGACACATGTTAAAGCAACTTGACGTGGTTTTTGTAGTTGAATATTTTCGAAGAATCAGTCGATCTGTTGTATTCCTTTAACGAAAATAATACTTTAATACTTGTTAAAAATCAGTACTTCTTGAGATAAAAATCGTTTATTTTCTTTTTTTCTCTTTATTTGATTTCAACGGTGAAAAATGTAATTATTTCGACTTAAAATATCTTTATCGTTATCAGTCAGTAATAAAAAGGTTTTGTTGTTTTAGTTTATAAACAAAGATTATATGATGAAATTTCACAGCTACTCCTATGTATGTATTGATGTAAACAATCATAATGAAAACCTTTCATCCATAAACATGTTTATATAATGTTCTTTATTTGATGTGAGTCATACGTATGCTTTTAGACAAAATAAAAGGACTCACAAGAAAAAAGAATGTAAAAAATCGAAATGCATTTAACACTACTAAAACGATAATATTATTGAGTATATATCTTGATTCTACTAAATTGACATGAGTCAATCTTTTTTTTTAAACATATGGTATTAATTATTTGAAGAAATTTCCCTACGGTTCTTATTGGACTTTGTAAAATGTCAAAGATTTAAATGAATATGAAAAAATGTACGAAGTCGAAAGTGCCACTGTCTCACTTCATTCAAAATCACACAATTGTACTATTTTAATTCTTTTCATTATTAACAGTTACTTTATAATTAGAAAACTGATAAATTTGAATTGTATATATTAAAAAATCGTTAAACAATAAAATATTTTCTAAATATTGTTTATAATCAAATCCATCATTTATTTCTAGTTGTTGAAATATAATTTTTGTGATTTTCGATAGAATAATTGTATGAATGATAATTACAATAACCGCTGTCTTTGAATATGAAATGAGGAAATTAATAAACAATACAAAAGGCTATGGTAAAGAAGCGATTTTATCTAAACGATGTGCTCGAAACATACCATTGATAGAGTATAAATAGGAAACTTTAAAGTAAACAAAGTGTTCACAAACGTGTCTTGTTGTACCTACATAGTGATTTTATCATAGAATACTAAATATTTGTTAATAAATCTTGTGAATGAAAGAAAATTTGTTGCTTCGTATTCATCAAACAAGAAGTTTCAATTTCATCTAGTGAAAATTAAAGTTTTAGTTTTGACCACGACATGTAAATATATATACATATATATAGAGTAATAATATTTCCTGATTTATATACAGATCAATGAGAAAGACTAATGATATGTTAATCAAAAAGATTCATAAATATATATTTTTTTGTACTAGTTATTGTCAATAAAATGCATTCAAAGAGTAGATGAAAAATGTTTATCAAAAGACTAATAGTCTATTTGTAACAATAAACAACAGTTTTCAACATCATTGAATATTGAATACAAAAAATTAGGTTTTTTTTTTGTATGATGTTCTTTTATGAAGACATTGCTTGAAATTTGCTGGTAGCATATAGTTAACTTTGATTTTTATGATTTTTGACAACTTAAACAACAAATAAAGAATACTGAGCCTTTTCTTCAATGATAATAATTGGAGAATAGAAACCTTTTACTTGTAAGAAGCATGTTTCAAAACTGCGTAAAGCGAAGCACTTTTTATTTTGTAAGAGACTGGATAGATTTATCTCTCTCTCTCTTATCAGTATGTATATTAATAGCAACACAGTTGTCTTTATACTAATCAGTTTTATTACTAGCAAATTTTAGCATGCAAATATTTCTTGTGCTTGCATTCGTTATGGTGAATTGTTTACTGGAAACTTTACAAGCCAATCGAACAGTTATAGTTCGTACTAAGTATCGTGATGTACTTGGTTATGAGACAAATATGGCTCGTATTTTTTATGGAATTTCATATGCATAACCACCTATTGGTGACTTGAGATATGCTGTTATTTTAAAATATTTATGATAATTGTTTCATATGGGATTCATAGATGGAAGCGATCAGTGCCAATTTCGAAATGGACTTCGAAAGTGTTGAATGCAACAACACGGGTTTCAGCTTGTCATCAACCACCATGTGTTGGAATTTCTTTATTTCTTTGTCCGACAATAGTAGATAAATACACGATCTATTTTATTATTACTTTTAATATTATCCATTATTTTTTCCCGTCGATTTAGTACTCTGAAGATTATCTTTACTTGAACATATTTATACCACTATTGAGTGATTCATCATCAACATCTCGTTTGTCAGTTATGATTTTTATTGCTGGTGGTAATTTCCAATATCTTGATGCGTCGGTACCAGTCTACGAATCTGAACGACTTGTTAATACAACGAATGTCATTATTGCTCTTATTCAATATCGTCTTGATAAATACAAAGTAACATAGTAGATTCACATTTTTTTATCAAATATTTGAAAGGTGTACTTGGTTTTCTTGCAACGGGAACGAAACCAAATGATATAAAAAGCAATTATGATCTTCTTAATCAACGATTGGCTATTGCCTGGATTAAAGCGAATATTGATGCTTTCGGTGGAGATTCTAAACAGGTTCTATATATAGATCGAGAATGAATTTAAAAAATTTTCATATATATTCTTTTTTACAGATAACACTATTTGGTCAAAGTGCTGGAGCACAACCAGTGGCATTGCATCATATAACAAGTGAGATGCAATCCTTCTTTCAGGCGAATATTGTTCAAAGTGCTCCAATGGCAATCCCATTTCGGTAATAATAATGACCATTGAATATGAAATGGTAGTGTTTTCTTTGAATTCCGAACTTATGAACAATATATTACACCTGCTACTCTTCTTGCTGAAGCACTTCATTGTGTTATTGGAGATATAGGCTGTTTGCGCAAAGCATCTTATCAGGATATAGCTGCTGCTCAAATAAAAGTAAATACCATGTTGACTTCGTTGGAATTTTTACTATTTTTTGAGCCATGGGTACCTGTAATTGACAATACTATTGTAAAAGATCAGCTTATCGAAATAGTGAAGAATACATCTTTTCCACTTAAACCACTTGTAATTGGGACATTGAATGAAGAAGCAATTTTTTACGTCTATGAAGCATGGGTAAAACCGATCACATTGTCGTTTTATCTTGAAATTATACTTTTCACGTTTCGTGCAAATGCATTTAAAATGATGGAACGTTATCCACCTATTGAAGTTGACGATCTACGGCCACTCGTATGTCAAATGGCTATACAATGGGTATTAGCATGTCCGACACGTATTTATGCTCGTCAAGCTGCTTCATATTCGTATGTTTTTGGTTTTCCACTTGATTTTGATGGATGGGAAAATGAAACGTTTTGTGATCATCATGTCTGTCATGCTGATGAACTACCTTATACATTTGAGTCCGTATGGGTTAATTTTGCAGATGCTGGCAAACGTGTTGCAATGAGTATGGCTACTTATTGAACTAATTTTACCAAAACTTATGATACAAACCAACCCGTATCACAGTCAATAGTATGACCAAAAATGAATACTGATGAACTTTATTTGTACTTTCAAGATCCACTAGATGTTCGAAACGCTTATTTGAAGGATGAATGTGACTTTTGGGATGAAATTGGTTACAAAACAATCCCTTCAATCTATGTCTAATTTATGGATTCCGAATGACTGAGAAATTAAATATTGTCTATTCCTTTAATACATGTCATACGAACGAAAACTCTTCAAAGACACACAATTGTTATTTTTGCAACTCTATAGATGTATCTCCTTGCCTCTTGTGATCATATTCTTGCTGTATCCGGTTATTGTTCAACATTTTTTGATTATTCCCAAATTTGTGTGATGATTCAAATATAGAATATTTACTAAATGAATCGGAATTAAGTGAATGTTTCGGTGATGATGTATGAGCAAGACGTAGTGCTTCTTAGCTGAATTTGTTGACTTTCTTGAACTTTTGAATAGTTCTTTGTGACTTTAACCTCTGTGTAAAAAGTCTTCGGACAAAATATATGTTCAATTTTCTTTCATTTTTAAGTTGCAGGAGACAATAAAAAGTAGTCAGCTAGAATGAAAATTTTGTGCTCTTTCTAAATATATAATCAGAATTTTTCAATGTCTTAAAGTTGTTTCTGAAAGAGCAAATTTTTGATAGAAATCAAAAACAATGTTTGTACAAAACACTGGTTTCAAAGGCATTGGTAACTATGTTCACTCATTTTTCAGAGACCTAATTGTAATCGAAAAGGATCAAAATCAGTTAGGTAGAAGCAAGATTTGATGCTCTTTCTAAATATATCGGTAGAACTTGGCCATGACTTACGGCTACTTGGCTATAAAGGAATACGTAACTAAATAATTCGCCGAGACAAATAAGCTCTTTTCTCTGACGTGCAATTTCTCATAAGGATATTTTTGACTAGTTTTTTTCTGTCTAGTTTTGTAGGCAATGTTATATGCTACAAAGCTGTGGCTTCAAATATTTTATAACTCAAAACAATCAAAATTTACAAATGATCTTCTACATACCACTCTATAGATGAGATAAAATTTTTGAAACAATCGGTTTTTGACAGTTTTGATATCTTGAAATAGAAAGACACTGATCCTTTTCTACAATGTGTAGAAAGCAAATGAAGTTGTGCATTTTTTAGAGCAAGTTTTGCTCTACAAACCAGTGTAATAGTAGACTTTCTTATGATTAGAATTGAAGCACTTTTAATCGATATAGAAAAATGTAGTACAAGAAAAATTCTGTACAAAGATTGCTTTTGGTTCCCATCAAAGATTTGCTCTTTCAGAAACAACTTTAAGTCAATGAAAAATTTTGAATATATATTTAGAAAGAGCACAAAACTTTCATTCTAGCTGACTACTTTTTATTGTCTCCTGCAACTTAAAAGTAAAAGAAAATTGAATATATATTTTGTCCGAAGACTTTTTACATGGAGGTCAGTAGTCTTTTTTTCGAACATGGTTAATGTCTGCCTAGATATATTAATTTTTATTTCATTCATATACAGCTACTTGGCATGTCTATGATAATGATATGAAAAATGTGACAAGATAAGAAGTTATTACAGAATAGGATGAAAATCATACTCTCGTTTTTCTCATACAAAGATAAAAGACGAACTAACGTGTCCTATTTATAGTTGCGTATGTAAGCTTGCCAACTCACTCGAGAAACCTCTCTGACGTCTGATTTCTCGCACGAATCAACTTAGTCAAACAATCGTACTGGTTAGACAACTGTATCTTAATCGAAATCCGTACGATTTTATCAAAGACCAATGAGTGGCCGTTTTCTCTTTGTTTAAGAGAATAATATTTGTTTAAAAACTCAATGAATTCAATGACTTTAATTCTGTAAGGTACAACAAGTCGATAAAAAAATGTAAGAACCATTATTTGGAATAAAGATAGGTTTTATTATGCATTGAGTCGAGATCATGATATTAAGAAGATAGACATATCGTCCATATATGCTTGCTCTTCTACAACCTGTTTTATACTTCTATTCTCTTTAAACTCTTTTTGATCTGTCTGCATTTAAAATTGATTACATTGCAGAACTCTTGCACAAGATAAGAGTGTTGTTTTCTTTTGCTGTGTTATTGCAAGTAAGCTGCTGTATTTTTCATCTTCGTAAATAATGTGACAAAAAAACGTCTTATCATTGCACTCTACTGATATGGCATATAAAAATGCAATCACCTTTTCAATTATATTTTCATTTGTGTTTTGACAACAGAGAAGTAACATACAACAAAAATGAAAATAATTTTTGTCTTCTGTCTCCTTTTCGTGAACGTTTATTGTGTACACGCCTTTGAAGAACAATTGAACGATTCATGGACATTATTTAAACGTATTTTCAAGAAAGAATATGCATCAAAAGAGGAAGAAATTGTTCGGTGAGCAAAGTACATTATTTATAATTGTTACAAATAGCACTTCTTTCTTTGCTATGATATCAATAGACGAACAATATGGGAAAAAAATCTTGCTAAGATTCGTAAACACAATCTCGAATCCGATATGGGTCTTCATAGTTACACAATGGAAATGAATCGTTTCGGTGATTTGGTACGTCTTTTAGGTTTATTGATTTTGTTAGTAGACACTTTATTGTATAGACTCATGAAGAATTCAAGAAACAAATGAATGGATTTAAGATGAGTACCAATGTTGATCAAAGCAAATACGATCGTCATATGTTTTTGGCACCATCAAATGTTGTTATTCCAGATCAAGTCGGTAAGTATTTTCATTGAATAACTTTTCCGATGAATAAAAGATATTCAACATCTGTGGGTCTACATAGATTGGCGTAAAGAAGGATATGTTACTCCTGTTAAAGATCAAGGCCAATGTGGATCATGTTGGGCTTTTTCAGCTACTGGTTCACTCGAAGGTCAGACCTTTGCTAAAACCAAAACACTTCCTTCACTCTCTGAACAACAATTGGTCGATTGTTCGAGCAAATTTGGTAATGAAGGCTGTGATGGTGGATTGATGAATAATGCCTTCGAATATATCAAACAAAACAACGGTATAGATTCAGAAAAGAGTTACCCATATCAAGCCTATGATGGAAAATGTCGTTTCAAACCAGAAGATGTTGCTGCCACAGATATTGTGAGTGCTATCTATCAAAAGAAAATAACAAGTCATTATATACGATTTCCATAGGGTTTTGTTTATGTCAAGGAAAAAAATGAAACTGACCTCACGATTGCAATTGCTACAGTCGGTCCTATTTCAGTCGCTATTGATGCTTCGCAAGACTCATTCCAATTTTACTCGGGTGGCATCTATAATGAACCAATGTGCTCGTCGACTGACCTTGACCATGGTGTGTTGGCTGTTGGATATGGTAGTGAGGGAAAGAAGCATCCAACTGATTATTATATTGTAAAAAACTCATGGGGTGAAGGATGGGGTGATGGTGGTTATATTTTAATGCTTAGAAATTCGAATAATCAATGCGGTATAGCCACTATGGCTAGTTATCCACTTGTTTAAATTTGTAAGCTTTCAATGTGAAAACATTATCACATTGTTTGTTTTTTTTTCATTTGTTTCAATAAAGTTTAAGTGAACATCGAACAAGAAGGTCAAAGTTTGTTGTTTGAATAAGAATATATAACATCTAAACGTGGCATGCAGTATCCATTTTAATCTGAGGAAATGAATATAATGAATTGATTTCAGTAACGCTCATGATGGTTGACCAATCCAGTTATAAGACAAACCATTAGTCAAGGCTATCCTACCCTATTTCAAAGAGTTGAGTTACTATTGTTCTTGTTGACGTACTTTACTTCTGCAAACGTATAGAAAACTTTGTGGTCTCAATTATTAAGGAAAGTTTCTTGATTAAAGACAGATTTTAATGTAAACTTTCGTTATCGTTGATAACGAAAAAAAATTAGCAATGCAACCAATGTGTAGCTGATTACTTTATCTTATTCCAGAATAATATGAAATAGTCCTCTTCATTTGCAAAAACGACTTAGCTCGACACATACGAATTTCTTCTATCTTTCATCTCATTTTTTTTTTATTATTCATACTTCTTACTTATTTTCAATATAAATAGAGCTGATGCTAGGGAGAAAAAGCCTTTCGTTTTACATAGAAGACAAGTCTTTACTAAGATCTGAATATAGACTCATTCAATACCTATCAGTAAATAGGTCTTTGATGAAAAATCTCTTTTCACAAACAAAATATGATGACTTTACATTGAAGGTAACAGAAGAAAAGCATACTGGCATTACATGATTGAAATTTGCAGAGATGTCATGGGTATTATCCATTAAGGTGGTCACACTCAAAGATATATTCGACGAGTTCAAAACTTGCTTTGTAAAGAGAGGTATCAGTGGACGCAGAGAATTTTAGTCATATTCTTACACAGAGCATACCAAAAGTAATGGTGCCTACCCTATAATATTTTACAGAAGACTCCAGGTAGTTTTTTCTATAATATTCTGATAGTCTAATTCCTGTTCTATTAATTCTACAGTATTTCATAAATCTTTAAACGATAGTATAATATTGAAAACATAGCAAAAAATAGTGAGTGGTTCACAAAAGACTTTTGTTTAAAGCAAGTTTATCAAGTTTTTATTACATCAAATGTTCAAAATAATCACTTTGGTTGTTTACACATAACTGCATTCGTTGAATCCATTTATTAAAAATTTTTTTATACTCTTCTTTTTTCAACGACTTCATAAATTTGATTACAGATTCATACAATGATTCGGAATCATCTTGATCGTCAATATTTTGTTTGATCAAATGAAACAACCAAAAGTAACATGGAGCCAGGTATGAAGAATTAGGTGGATGTGGCATTATTGTTACGCCTTCCGATTCAAGATAATTAACTAAGTCTTCATGAATATGTGGTTTTCCATTATCATGATGAAGTTTAATTGATCGAA